CAGACAATTAAGTTGGTGAACTCATCTTAGAAAAAGTGCTACAAGCTCATTGCTGAGTATCACTGAGGTCGCCTTCTAGGCGTCCCCCTTGCCCTATGCACCAACACCAGCACTTCATTCACCCTTCAAAGCAATTCTGGAACTCTTTTTTTCTGGAATGGACATCAGAGCTGTCATCAAATGGAGGATGACAATTAAGTTCACAAACTCATCCTAGAAAACATGGTCCATACCTCATTGCTGAATATCACTACAGTCCCCAGCTGGCCAAAGGGAGTACTTTAAAGGTGACTGGAGTGATATTCAGCAATGAGGCATGGAACACTTTTTTAAAGATAAGTTCATGAACTAATTGTCTTAATGTAAAGACATCCCTGTAATGTAGACCCAAGTAGCTCTTAAAAAGGATGAGGTTAGAGCAATATGGCTTAGAAACTTGTGACCTCACTACAGTGTGTTGTTCAGTGGGAGAAAAAAAAGACAGGTTACAACATAACATGCAAATTATAACCTGATTTTTGTAACAAGCATTATCCTTAGTTGACAGAGAAAAATGTCTGAATATCTATGCTCTGGTTATCTTTGTAGAGGGGCTAGATTATAGTAGAGCCTGTCAGCTTATGCTTCTGTGTTCCTTGAATATTCTGTTTCGGAACAATTATTTGGAGCAGAGGAAAAGCAATGGATATTGTCATCTGCTGAAACTGTCGAACAGAACAAATGCCCAAACTGCAAGAACACGCCCAGGGCAGGTGAAGATGAGAGAAGGCACACACGGGAGAAAGGGGGAAGGCTCAACGCGCAGCAAGGGCCGAGGGCTGTGCAGAAGGAAGAGGGTGAGGAGCGGAGGGTGGGAGGAGAGAGAAGAAAGGGAGGAGACCAAGTGGGAGAAGACGGGGAATGGGGGTGCAGCAGACAGAAGGGACAGGGCAGCTCTGCAGGTCAGCAGAGCCCTGCTGGTACCCGGGAAGGTTCAGTGGGCACTTTGCTGAGGACAGTCAAGACAGTTACAAGCATGGGCTGTGAGTGCAGCAGTAGAATTAGCGCTCACTAAATACACACCCGCCCCCTCCTCCCTAGAAGTACACAGGGGTCATGTGACTCATTCTTGTTATTTGCCCGAGAGAGGAAGGGCTGAGGCCAGTAGAGGCAGCAATACCTCCTTCCCACCCCAATGCCCAAGTCGCATATGTCATGCATTCCTCTGTGACTTGGCTACAAGGAGTCACCAGTGCCCTGGGGCCGCCAATGCCTGGGGACCCAGAGGTGCTGGAGAAGTAAACTTTTGTTGTAGTAAGATATGATGATTTGGGGGGTTACCTGTTACAGTAGCTAGAGTTTCCTGCTCTGATGTGCTCTGTCATGAATTAGCTGACTTTTGACAGATTATATAACTCTCCCAACATCAGTGACTTCATTTGCCAATGGAAATACTAATAGTTTATATCAGCTTGGCATCCATAGCTCAGTGAGTAGGGTGCGGGCCACACACACTGAGGCTGGAGGGTTCAAACCTGGCTGGGCCTGCTAAATGACAACTGTAGCCAAAAAATAGCCGGTGTTGTGGGAGGCTGAGGCAAAAGAATCACTTAAGCACAAGAGTTTGAGGTTGCTGTGAGCTGTGATGCCAAGGCACTCTACCGAGGGCGACACTCTACCCAGAGGCTGAGGGAAGCTTGCACAGTCTCTTGAGTCCTCGAAATACTAAAAAAAAAGTATCTATCTCACTGGGGTTATTGGAGAATTACATGGGCATGTGTACAGTGTTAGGGACAAAGTATTACTGTATGACAGCTATTATTATTGTTCTCATCATTTATAGCAGGAGTTAATATAATCAATAAATCCTCCAAATGGGTAGCAACAAAGCCGGGGAAATGTGAAGAGGTGAGAGCAGGGGCCCACAGGGGCTGTCCAAGAAGATGTCATGGGAATCAGACATGTAAATAAAGAGGTTTGAAGACCCAAATATCTCTAACTAGTGAACTACCAGCTTCCCATGAGCTGCCTCCCTCATCTGTGGAGGTTAACAGGCAGAACTAAGCTGGTTATGATCAGTCGCATAGCCATAAAAATGCTTACTAAATTTTCATCATAATGAACTATGCTATAATTTCTTTTTTGAATATTTCAGTTTGTGGCCATAGAAACCATAAGGTATGCCTAATATGAAGGAAATAACTGGTTGACCCTTTCAACCATTGGGTCATCCAAGTGATCTTGGAGCCCCAGCTCTGGAGCTACCTGCTCTCTGACCTAATTAGGGCAGGAAGAGGGTGGTGGCAGCAGGCCAGGCAGTGCCCCTGTGAGGGGCTGGTGGGGTGGAGGGGGATGTGACATATGAAGTCCCACAATTAAGTTCTCAAATACATCCTAGAAAAAGTGCGCTGAAGGGTGGATTAGACGCTGCATCGGTGCAAAGCTTCCCAAGGGGGGCACGTGGAAGGTGGCTGTAGTAATATTCAGCAGTGAGTGCACAGCACTTTTTCTAGGATGAGTTTGTGAACATATTTGTCCAACCTCATATAAATCCAATAAGTGCAGCGTGTGATAAATTCAGGGTGACTCGGTAGTGCGGTTCTGCCTTCTTTCTTCTCTTCATTTATTTCCTTTCCTTTTGAAAAAGCACATTTGCTGTTAGCAAGTCTAACAGACATCTGAAGACCCCCTGAGTGCCGTCATTGCATGACTTTTTAAATAAAATCAAATTGTTGATTTTCAAGATAATAAATTACCTAAGTTATTCCCAGCTAATATTGGCTACCAAATTTCTGTGGGGGGTTTTCAGAGTGAGTTTTCAAAACTTTCACAGCACCTAACAAGGATTGAGAAGATGATGTGCACGTTCTAAATAAAAAAGGGGAAGGGTCTTTGGGGTGGGGGAAGAGGTTCAGGCCCCCCAACTCCACCTGATACATCTGTTGCCCTCGGGACCTCACTATTTGGCACAGTCTGTTCTTTCAACAAATGTTTAAAGAGCACCTGTGATGTGCTTTGGATACAAAGACGACACATCTCTGTCCCTAAGACATCCACGGCCCAGCAGAGAGGCTGAGGGAAGCTTGCACAGTCTCTTGAGTCCTCCAAATACTCGAGAGTCTGAGCCCGGTTGTCAGAAATTCCTTCTTTGTTCTGGCTGAATAGTAACAGTCACAGAGACCTGCCAATCACAACTTACTCTGTTATTCTGAAAAGCGAAGCATTCCAAGTGGCGCCAGTGCACGTTAGAACCGCTTTGCACGTTGTGGTTCTCCAGAAGACAGGGAAGAAGTAGGACCCTAAGCCCTACATCCCCTCGACCTTCTGCAAACTCCCCTCCAACAGTCTCGCCTATCCTGGCTCAACTGAAGGACCCAGGATGCCTCCTCTCTGGGCCAATCAGAACCCAGTCGGCATCTCTCTGATGCAACCATTCCCTCCTTACAAAATGGTCCTTAAACCTGGATTAGCTATTTTTACTCGGTTCTATAAAAATAGCTGCCGTCAGTCAGTGCTGGCGGGGAATCAAGGCCTCCATCCAAGCGCGCACCCCAGCCGGCCTTGCCCTGATGTTTCCTTCCGCATCATTGGCATTTGGGGGCGCACTGGCCCCACTGCGCTGAGAGCGCTCAGGGTTGCATCCACTGACCGCGCCTTCCAGAAAGAGGTAAAGGTGAATTCGCCGCGAGAGGCTCCGCCTCGGACGCGCGCGCCAAGATCCTCCCCAGCTGATGGTCAAACCTAGGATGCGACCATCCGATTCCCAGAGTAAGGGAAAAGGATCAGGTCCGCCCCCCCGCACTCAGCGCAGCAGGAGTGGCGGGCTGTGAAGAGGGACAGCGCCCCCCGGAATGGACCTCTCCCCGAGTGAGGGGTGTGGGCCGGTTGGCGGGCCCTCCGCAGTGCCAGAGCCGGGACCTAGCCACCTACCTCCACCCCCGCCCCCCGTGTGGCCACTTTTGATCCCGCCCCAGACACAGCCAATCTGAACTCCGGCAGAATGAATAAGGGGATCAGGTTGCTTTCTCGGCTCCCCTCACCCCACCTCCTCGCGTCTTTCCTTCCCCACGTGACTCTCTGGAATCTTTGCCAAAGCTCCTAGTCCCTGGGTCCATTTTCACACCGAGTAAAGGAGAGAGGAAGGAGGCTAGGGAGGCGGAGCGAGGCGGCGCGTGTCCTCTACACGCTGGGTCCAGGCTGGGCCTTGCATTGGGCGTTTCCGGGTCTCTCGCCTGGGTGGCATTGAGTTCGGCGGTGTCTCCAGCGTCTCTAGCGCCTTCCTCTGTGCCTGTAAAATGCCGGCTCCTCCCCCACATCCCGATCACACCTCCTGCGGGCGGTGGCTCCGCGCGCTCAGTGCGGAGGTGGGCGTTGGAGTCGAGTAAGCCGCGCCCCGCGGCCCCCACTGCGGGCCGAGGGGCGGGGGCGAGAAAGTGGCAGCAGCCGCGCCCCCTGCACCGCCCCCTCCTTTCCTGGAAGCTTCTGCACGGTCTGCTGCGGGGAGCGCAGCCGGCTGCACGGGGCGGCTGCAGCGCTGCGCAAAGTTTCCAGAGGGCGGCCCCGGCGCACGAGGTCCTCGGCGCCGGGTGGCCTGACCAAGCAGTGCGTGCGGGAGGTTCTTTTGGGGCTCACCGGCGACCCGCTCTGCCGACATTTGGTGGCAAGCGAACTTTAAAAAAGCTGATTCGGACCAGCCTGGGACGGGATCCCTACAGTCAGGGACCGAGGAGCGGAAGGGTCTATCCTGAGCCTGAGAGCATAGCTGGGACAGCTGATCGGTCGGCGACCAGTAACTTTACAGAGAGACTTTGCCGAGGAGAACAGGGCTCTGCCTCTTCTTCCAAAGCGCAGCCTGCGTTGCTGGAGAGCTCGGCGCGCTGTCTCCGGGCAGCGGGTGAATTGAATCCCCCGCCCGCCCTGGCGCCTGGTAGCTGATGTGAGTGTCGCTCCCGGCCGGGCCAGTCCATCCCATTTCCTCGGAGGTAACCGCCCGCTGTCCCCACCCTCTGTGCGCCCGGGTTCGGGGTGCCGAAGGCTGCGTTTTGGCCGAGAGCCGGTTCTTGGATGCTGAAGGCTGTGTTCGGGTGCCGAAGAGGCCATGGGTGTTCTCAAAGTGTGGCTCGGGGTGGCCCTGGCGTTGGCGGAATTCGCAGTATTGCCTCATCGTTCCGAAGGTGAGAGAGCGCGGCGCCTTTTGTGTATTTTTGTGTGTGTGTGTGAGAGAGAGAGAGAGAAAGACAGACAGACAGACAGACAGACACGAGAGGGAAAGGTATCGTGCAGTTTAATTTAAAAAGCTCAGCAGGTTTCCCGGCGTTGTGGGTCGTGTGGAAGTTGTTTTTGGTGGCGGGGAGAGTGGAGCAGGGGTGGGCTTTTTCTGAGAAGATCCCTACACCTGGTGGTTTGCATTCGGATCACAACCCCCGCCCGGCCTCCCTTTCTGTTCAAAGTGCCTTGGGTGGGCGGGTGGCCGTTTGAGGTCGCATCTCTGAAATTAGATTTTTCTCTTCACTACCCCGGTCCCCAGAGGAAAAGCGACTACTGGAGCTGGGCGAGGAGCGATCAATGGCTCTTAGCGGTGTAAAAATACTTCTGTCTCTATGAAACACAAAATCCTCCCCC